ACGCATAACTGTTTCTAGAAGTTCATTCACTGGAGAGCTGCAGTAATAAACATTAAATAGCAGATAGACCAAGACAAGGCATTTTACCACTGCCGCCATTTTTACGATTTCTAGTTAAAGTAATTTTCATTGTTATCATACACGAATAGACATTCTCTTAAAAGGCACATTTCGTGCTGGCATATACAACGTGATTTACGAGACCCGCGTATACGCGCACTTTAGCACGCGTATATATGGGTCCTTGTAGGACGCGTATATTTGGGCATTTATTTCGCATATCCCCGCGCTTGAATTTACGCAAATAAGTGGCCCTTTAAAAATGCGTATATACGCGATCTAAATGATCGTATATATGAGCTTAAAGCCCATACGCAACGTATGTAAACAAGTATACGCGGCAGAAAAACCCGCGTATACCCTGTCGTAATTTTGAAACGAATGGCCAACCATACAGAAACTGCAACAGTAACAAATATACAGCGAACGAGGAACGGGGAACGGGAAACCGGGAACGGGAGTCTGGGAAAGAGTGTACAGCGGTAACCCGAGTGAAAATTCAACATGGCGTTCCACGTTCCCCGTTCTCCGTTCCCCGTTACCAGTTTTAGTAACATCCAATATAATTCGACGTCGATAGCTTTGACAGTGTCACTTATGGTACTTTGAAACGTAAATAAAAGCTTTCTGGTGCGGCATGTTCGACGTTCGATTCCGTGATCCCATCGAAAGGATCCCTGTCGCGTAAATTACTCATGGCCCTTGAGCCGTGCTAACCCTGCATGGCAAGGCTGGTTTTCCTTGAGGCAGTGAATATTAGAATAGGGGCGCAGATTAGACTGGAGGCGCTTATGCCTTTTTGCGTGATACCTATTAGCGTTGTGCCTTTAAGGGTAATTGGTAATGCCTTTTCGCGTGATACCTTTTTGCGTGATGCCTTTCTGAGTGATGCCTTTTTGCGTGACGCCTTTAAGCGCGATGTCTGTTTGCGTAATGGCTATTGATTACCGTTGAATTATTTGATATGAATTACTGAGTATTGAATTTTGTCAAGATGGCTCAACCTCTTTACTTGTATCCTGAAGCGTATTCTCGCTCATTTCAATGTTTTCTGGATTCAACGTACCAACGGGAGAAATCCATTTTAAAATGCATAGAAGAGCACATTGTTCCTGTAATCAAGACCGGAGTATGCAAGCTTCTAGAGGAACACTCGTTTAACGAATCGCCGTTTCGTGTTCTCAGTGTTGGGAGCGGCGAGGGTGGAAATGACATTAACCTTTTAGAAGCACTCAGCAAGATTCCTCCAAACGAGGGGAAAGCAATGTCAATGGTCAACCGTGTAGTTGAACAAAATGCAGACAGGCTCGCAGCATTCCGCGCAAAAGCGCCAAATCTTCGCGCCCATTTCAAGGGACGAGCAAATGTTGACTTCGAGTGGATTCCGATGACCTTCCAAGAATATTCCTCCCAAAAGAGAGCAGATGATGGCAAATTCGATGTGGTTCATTTCATCCACAGCATCTACTACCTTGGAGTCGAAGATGTGCTGGTTCATTGTTACGAGAAAGAGCTTGGACGGCAAGGCATTTTAATATCTATCACCGAATCCGAGGCCTCGCCTATTTGCAAATACGCTGAGAAATTTGGCGATCGATTGATAAATTCAATGACCAGGAATAACAATGTTGTTGATGTGGCAAGAGAGAAAGGATGGAAATATTTTGTATGCTCCGGCGATTTTAAAAGCCTCGATATCACTTCAATTTTCAATAGCTCGTCGCTCGAAGGAAATGCTCTCTTAGATTTCCTTACATACAGGATGAGCGTCCGACAAAATGAGAATAGTGAAACAGTCGACAAAATGTTAAAGTTTTGGGAGGAAGAATCGTCTATCAGTGAGCAAGGTAAGAGAGTTGTGGAACTTGGAGACAATGCAGTCATCATCGTAAAAGGGTTTGGGAGTTAACACAATGGACAGCACGCAAATTTAACATGTTTATTGCAGGCTTTTTGCGTTGCGTAACATTAATGATGCGAATGTGAGCTATTTTAATGTGAAAAGATGACCTTTAATATGGTAGCTGTTATCAATCAGCGGCTGTTATGTCAAAAAAGGTCAGATTATATTTCATTTCGTGACTCATACAATGAAATTGTCACGTAGCGTTTTCGTGACTGAGTAAGTTTCAGGCGTAGAGATCGAACGTAGCGAAGAACACACGAACAGATTAATTTACTTGACACGAATCGTACCCGAGAAAGTTTAAATATATAGTTTTCTTATTTCAGGTTATTGGTCAAATAATTTTGTATTCACGTCCATTTAAGAAGAGCCCGGGGGGAGGGGGGGAGGGCGGGGGTACTTCTAGAAAAGTTGGGTGGGGGTGTGCGGCCCAGTTCCCAAAACCCTTACCCTATTTAAGACCAAAATCTGCGTTTTTTGCTACCCTATTTATGACCTGACCAAAAATTTGATACCCTATTTATGACCGTTGCGAGTGACACAGTTATTCCTTACATAAGTTATGAAGGGCTCTTGTTGACGGTCTTGTTGATAAGGATGAAAAAGTAGCTTCTTCTAAGAAACATACCCAATTCAAGACTAGAGCGCTAAAACCATACCCTATTTATAAACAAAATGGCCAAAATCGATACCCTTTTCATGACCAAAACGGCTGAAAAACCCTTCCCTTTGGGCCGCACATACCCATGTAGCCCATACAAGGGAGTACCTCCGGCCCCTGGGATGTAGAGTCTGTAATCTTCGCGTGCATGTTATCGTTCTGCATATAATGTCTAGTCCACACTATGTCGGATAAATTTGAAAAGGAATTTTTCGCGCTGAAAATTAAACGCATCGAATGTTTTCTATCCACATTACGCCAGTGGAATTTGAAAACGCAACAATCACCGGTCATCTTGGATTGATGTTTTCCCTGGAGTGCGGACGTTTTGAGCGTAGAGCCCGGTGCCCCATCATTTCACTGCCTAGAGCCCTGATCTCTTTTAGATGCGGAGTGCGGAGCCCTGAAAGTTTTGCTAGGGAGCCCGGAGCCCAAAGTAAATAATTCAGTCACTTTTAGCACGCAGAAAATAATGGAATCTAGTTAGGGGAAAGAGCAACAGATACTTTCGTTTTGCTATTGTCCAGCCTGTAACGCAATTATCCAATTGGGTTTCTTTGTTTTCTGAAGTTTTTAACCTTTAGGCTAATAATTTAATTTAAAGTCAGCTCAGACAGGCGAAATAGGTCAGTTAACCAAAACACTTTCCATATTGGATCTCATATTACTCCTCTTAATTGATTCATAAATAGCCGTGATTTTAAACTCATAAGTTTGTTCTCAAGGAAAGATAACCTTATACGCAAAAATCATATTTATCGAAGGTAAAAACTCAGCAAACTTTGGCCAGTTCGTTGAGGGAGGCAGCATGCATTTTCACGGAGAACGCACCTAGGAAAAACAAACTAATCGAGCGAAGAAATTTTTATTATAAGGGGCTTGGAAATGCCATTTAATTTCCCTGCCTTTTTCCAAAGTACAGTTTCATAAATAAAGTGTACACCGGGTAAGACGTTGCGTATTTAGTAACATGCGCTGCCTGAGTTTGCATCAACCTTTTGAATATTTGATACTAAGTTTAATATAAAGGGGAGGTTTTAAAAGTCTTTAATTATTTTTAAAAGTTTTCATCTTTAATAATTAAAACTGTTAAATATTCTGGACAGCAGTCTTAGCTGTGGTGCCTGGAGCCTTAAAGTAGGTGTTGTGGAGCCCCGAAGTCCTACTCTTTTGGGTTTAGAGCCGGCCTTTAGTCCCACTGTTTTAGGTTCAGAGCTCTGGAGCCCTAACACTCTTTGAGACCCTGACTTGAACTTCCTGACCTGCTGAAAAAGTCACGCAATAACTTCATACTAGAAGGCAAATCACATGTTTCACTGGCTATAACATTAATTTTCAAAAGTCGCATGACTTTCAGTCAAACCTCCCACCTAAAGATTCATGCCATGACTTCACAAAAACAGACAAAGCTCGACGAATCAGACCAGTTCGATAACATTTTCGAAAAATCATGCACCGGCTTCAATCGATCTCCACGCCGAAAGGGTCACACCAAGAAATAGGAACAACATAGGTTATGTTCACACTCGATGCCTGCGCACGGTGCACGAATACAGTTTTTGCTGGGCACTAAGGCTGTGTTCATACTTGGTGTCTCGAGCACTGGTGCCTGGGCACCGCAGCACACAATAGTGTTGCGTTCAGACACTGGTTACTCGAAGTACACAAGTACCATTTAGTGCCTGAGTACAAGCCTTGTAATGGGACACTAGCCTGCGACTGCAGACGTATTTAGTTCCGGCTGTCGCTTGTCTCCGCCGAACAAGCGATAGCCGAAAATACGTCTGCGTTTGCTGGTTACCTGGCACGGGCTTCTGTAGCCCGTAACAAGTGTTCCCGAACGAAGAACTTTCAAGCACTTCTAATCGCACGTAAATTGGAGCAAGAGCAAAAATTCGACGAAGCACGGGGTGGAGGGGCGAGAGAGGGAACGAGAACGCCACCAAACAAAAGGTATAATAAGTAAAACAATAGCTGTGCACGTGCGTTATAAATCTTTGTACACGACGAGAAAGTGAAACGACCAAGTTCTGTGTAGTCTGAGGAACGTGAACGACGACGGCTAAGTTTTCGTATTTCCATTTGGAATTGTTGTCATATGCTATTTAGCCTGAGCACGTTCTTAGAGCCACTGACGTACTGAACAGATCTACGCAACTGCGAAATTCACTGGTAAAATATAACGTCATTTTTGACTCGGCGTCGTTCTCAGCGTCGCGATCGTCCTTGCTTAAGCTCACTATTATGTCGTGGAGTGAGGAGTGAGTGGCGGGCTCTTTTGTCCTTTTTTCACGTTGTTGGGCTGTAATTTTATGCCTAAGTAATGTGATTTCTTCCAGGTATTCACAATGGAGCAAGAACTCGACGAAGTAGGGGATGGTGGGACCCGAGTAAGCCCGCGTAGTCCATATCATAACCTGTTCGTACTCTCGAGTTTAAACATATTCAAAAGGACACCTTAGTGCTATTTGTGGTATGTACACATTTCCTTGCACCTTTGTGTGAAGTGCGAACGAGATACGAATTTTAATTAAACAACCGTATTTCAATGTCCCGGAAAGGACTACCAAACGAATAAGGTTTGGCTAAAGAATTACACAAAAAAATCCTGATAAGTTATAGAACCCAGAATGAATATTTCCAGGAAGAGCATTTCCAAAAAACTAGACATCAATTTTATTTCATTATCTCGATTGACGCCAAAAATAAACCAACCATAGCAACGGTAAACACAGCTGGAAAATCCCTAAATGATGGTGTCCAGTGGAATATGAATAACTCAAGTTTTAGTTCTTAGGTAAAACTACATAATAACATAATATAAGGAGAAGATGTAATTTGATCAGTACCGAAATAGAAAATTAAGTAACCTTTTCTTTAATACCTGAAATATCTCACGATTATATTATCCTGCACCAAAAACAAGTTTTCCCTTAATAATTTAATAATGAATGGTTATATATATAGAATACATTCTGGCTAGCATTTTTATTCTCTAACAATATGGACAATATGCGTGACTTTTCGAGGACAAAATGTGTGAAAGCTTTGCAGCTTCTTCAGATCATACACAGTCCTTCTCCAACATTCCGATCCATAGAGTAGTACAGAGATTACGCAAGTTTAGTAGATCTTAGTCGTCGTTCTTCTGCTGTATTATCTGTTCATCCACACGGGTCATAACTTTGCAAAGGCCCCTGTAGCCTTACCAATCGATCTTCTGCCGTATGTCCAGGTCAGCCCCCCTCCCCTCCATCACTGCAGACGGTACTACCCAATAGGTGAATTGTTGGGTCATTTTGAGGCGTAACTGTCCAATCGTAATGAGCAATGTTTACAGGCAAGACTCCTGTCTTAATAGGATTGACCTGAAGCCCTACCTTCTGAGCGAATCTGTCAATCCTATCAGTTTAATTTTTTCCTGGATGCCACGAAAAGAATGAGATAGCAAAGCGATGTCGTCGGCATAATCTAGATCTTCCAGAACAGTTAACATTGTCCAGCGTATTCCTTTCCTTTTATCTTCGTTAGCTTGTCAAAGCAGCCAATCGATGACAATATTAATAAACAGTAATGCTGACATGACACGTCCCTGACGGTCATCCGATTTCCCGTGAAAGCTCAGGTTAGAGCATCCAAACGAGCCCTGAGCAATGAAAGTCAGTATAGAATTTCTTTATTACTCGGACGATGTGTACAGGTATGCCATACGCCCTGAGGATACTCTATTAACTCTCTCTATGGACACTATCAAAAGCCTTCTTAAAGTCTACGAAATTGACGTACCATCCTCTCTGCCATTCATGACACTGTTCATTGATGTTTCTCAAGGAAAAGGTGTGTTCTGTGCAGCCTCGACCTAAAACTCGCTGTACTTCATTGACCGCCAAAGACAGACGTTTCACAATGACCTTACAAAATGTCTTGATAGTAGCAGACGAGACAAGCATTTCAAGAAAACGACAAAACGTTTGAGTTTATAAACCATGTTTTGATAGAAACTTCTGTCATCCTCAGTTGATCCAAGGATGACAGAAGTTTCTGTCGAAACATGTTTTATAAACTCCAACGTTTTGTCGTTATCTGAGACCTTACAAAAGATTTTGCTTGGTAGGGATAGTAGTGTGATACCCTACCAATTGTCACAATCAGGCAGTGTACCTTTTTTTAGGAATTGGTATGATGACACCTTTGCTCCAGTCACTTGGTATCCCCTCGCCATTCCATACTTTAGCAAAGAGTGGGAGTAAAATCTCTGCTGTGAGTTCTGGATTATCCTTAAAGAACTCAGCATTAAGTTGATCTTGTCCAAGCCTTTCCTAAGATCTCTAATGGCTTCCATAATCTCTTCTTAATAGTAGGAGGTTCGGTTGTAAAGCTAACAGCTAAATCTGTTGTTCCATTGTTGAACTTGATGGTTATGACATGGAGTCATCGAAATTAACATCGCTCGATTTTAATATCGCTGCTTTTCATGCTCAGATGTTTTCTCCAAAAACATTCGAGGTTGCAATTGCTACTGTCAGGTTGTCGGACTTAATGGCAAAGACAAGTAGACGCCTAGGTACTGAGTGAATTGACTATTAAGTTAACTTGTGTGACGTTCGTTTTTGGTTTCTAGCCGTTAATTAATATACTTTGTTCACCTGAAACGTCACAACCTCTTTGAATGCTAAATGGATAACCAAATATCAATTAAATGAACTATAAAGTGCCTAAGTACTAAGCATTCAGTTGTCCGAGTTGGGGAAACTTGAAATTTTATTTACTATTCTAGTACGCTAAATCTATAACCTTGATGTCGTTTCCAAAACACTAATTTGCTTTCTTGTTTGTTTGTTTTTGAGTCATCAACATGAAGTTGACCTAAGGTAAGAGTCAAACTACAGTCAACAACACTTATCGTTCGCAATCAAATTACACAAAAATGTCAAGTATTAATCCAAATTATGATTTTTCATGAAAAAAACAAATGTCGCAGATCAAACCAAAAAAATTGTCTAGAAGACTACTCTTTTATATTTTCCGTTGTATTGATTGTTGAAAGAAGATATTTAAGATAAAGAAAGCCGAAAAGATCAGAAGAGCATCTTGTGTCACAGCTCCGAAGGAATCCCCAAACCTGGAACGCTCCTATAATAAAAAAAAAAAANTAAAGATATTAAAGAGACGGTGCTTGCACCACGCATTTTCACAGGCCACAGAGCACCGTTGGGGTTTCCATGCAAACATTGCAGAAACAATTCGTTTACAGCCAAAACAGAGGAGTTGACCTTTCCTTACATTAACTAAGCTACACATTAAATGAAAAAATGTCGTATTGAACCTTGCAAGGACGGAAAACAAGCTTCTAACTGCAATACGTTTTCCGGCTTTTTTCTTTTTTCAAAATTTTTCAAATTTTCGCGCGAAGTCCGCGCGGGTGCACCACCGGAAGTGAACTTGCTCACACGTTTAACTGCTGGCCAAAAGCTTGTCGTAACACCTATCCCAGAAAGACTAGCAGCTTTAGAAAGCTAAAATCGCGCTGAAAATTTTGATCCCAAACATGGCATACCTTGCGGAGTTTCTCAGCAAAAATTGTGCTCCGAACGAGAGCTGGTTCTCGAGACGGAAGTCGATATTGCAGTTAGAAGCTTGTTCTCCGTCCTCGCAAGGTTCAACACGTTTTTCGCCTTCTTTACAAAGAAAAAAGACGGGTCAAACATTTCGCTGCGACTGCATATTTTAGGATATGGTCAAGAAAAGAGTCAATTATGGATCTCCACTCCGGCAATTGAAGTACCAAGCACAGCAGCACAGGTATCTGTCTTTAATTTATAGACTTTTGTGAGGCTTAAGTGGGTCGCTCACCTCGAAACAAAGCACAGGAAAAATGAAGGGGGTTTTTCTGTTACTTTACCGAGTCTTATTATTTACAGCAGTACACAGACAGCAGTCGTTATAATGGCATCTCCGTCCGGCAAATGTACCATCTGTAATTTTTAACCGACTGTTCCGAAATAGTAAAAACCTCTCCACACATTTCTTTGTAAAATTGGACGCCATTTTGACAGTTACATTTCTAAGAAACCGCTTACGCTTCGCGGGCGCTTGGCCACAATAGTTGGCGATGGTGAGCAATGTTCCCGTTACCAGATACGAATAAGGCTTCGAGGTCATTGGCTGACACCGGTTTTTTGTTTACATATTACATAACACGTGCATGTGAAACACATGCATTTCACGGCATCACGTCCTGCACATGTCAACGTATGTGTAAATTTTCAACCTGTTGTTACTCATGTTCAGTACACTGTATACCGGACTAGTAAAAAGTAAGCAAATACACGCGTGCATAACACAAGTTAGGTTAAGGTGGCCGAACACAGTTTCCGAGCGCGCTCTTGCTAATGCAATTCAGCGCCGTAAACATGGCGTCGATACGGCGATCATTTTATTTACTCAATGCCTGCGCTATCTACACTATTTTTCTTCATAATTCAACACAGTGTATTGATGGGGTTGGTCTTTTCTCTCGCAGGGTTTTGGCCTCTGCGAGCAGGCACCCTAGGATTCCCCGCGTGTATACATAGAAGGAATTTCAAAAAAGTAAGAAATGTGTTGTTGATTTCAAGGTTCTTGTAACCACGAGTTCGCGTTTCGCCATCTTCGAGCAGGATTTCAAGGTCTCCCAACCACGAGTTCGCATTTCGCCATCTTCGAGCAGCATTTCAAGGTCTCCCAACCACGAGTTCACATTTCGCCATCTTCAAGCAGGATTTCAAGATCAAAAATACACTCCAATTACAATATGCAATATGGCCTGCATTTATATGACGATTTTAGCGCGATCAAATAAAGTCGCTTCGAAATGGCCGAGATTATCATCTAGGACAAATTGAAAACGATTTCAAAGTTCCTGAAGATGGATGTTGGGAGAAAAACAACTCAGAAGGTATCCTAAGAAATTCTGAAGTATACTAGAAATTCGAGGTCAGTGTGGCATGGTTCAATTGCAACTAAATAGCTGCTAAATAGCTAAATACCCTTCCGATCGCCAGTTTTACCTTTGGCACCTCGTTTATTGGAATCGCTTATTTGTATTGAGTAATCTTACGTGGTGTAGAGCTCATGTGTGGGCTGGGTGACTTTGCAGTCCAAATGTAAATGTAAATGTTTTGCAGCATTTTTGTTGAGGTCAAATAGCTTGACTCTAATTTGCATATATGGTGACTGTAACGCGATACTTCTGGTTACGTCTCGGAAAAAAAAAAATCGACTTCCGTTCTGCTTTCGAGACACGTTTGCTCATATATCAAGACAAATGGTTTGTTTCAGCATTTGACTTAATTTTTTGTTTTGCTATAATGTTTTAACCTTTTTTTCCCTACAAAGTTATACTGAGTGACATTTTTGTAAAACAAATATTAGTCTCCATGAAGGCAACCCATTTTTTTTTTCCAGAAAGTACTTTTTGCGTCCTTTCTAACGAGATATGGTAAACTGCCCTGCTGTAAATGCTTTGTGGGAGTATTATGTAAAGAATATCATGTGATAGAATGAGTTAAACAAAATGTGTTGGTTTAGTTAACGTAGTTGATTGTTTGGATCATATTCATGGTAAGATGCCTAAGTTACTGGATCAGTATGAGTGATATAGTTTACAAAAAAAATAATAATAATAATAAAATTTTTAGCTGATACAAAGATGTTCAATATTATTGTCAGGTTTTCAATCAGCAGAAATAAAAGAAAGCGGAGGCATATTTAGTAAAGGTATGTTAGAAAAGGTAACGATGCAGAGAACCCAGCAATTCTCAGGTTTTTTTTTTTTTTTTTTTTTNAAATACTTCAGGAAATAAGTAACTGGAGTATCGAAAAAAAAATTGAACTTTAACAAAGGAAATTCTAGATATTCCAGTGAACCTTCAGCAAGGGATAATTAAAGATCTCTCCGTTAAATTATTAAAATAGTGTTAACTTGTGAGCATCGTCACAAGCCTGTTGCATGCAAATTATAGAGAAAATCTAATGACTAGATTTTCTACAAATAAACAAAACCGATTTCAAAAGGCCTGTTTATATTTATTCATGTTGCCACGGCAACGCCGGGCACATACGTCAGCTTAACTATCAAAAAACCAAAGTTTGTGTTGTTAATTTGCTTGCTGCCATTTTTGGCGACCAAAGGATCACTGAGGGTTTTGGAGAAAAAGGTGAATGAAACACAGGTATCAAAAACTTTGTTTAGCCACCTTAAATGACGCAAATTCCACACAAGTGTAACACGTGTAGCGCATGCTCATATACCATGATCCCTAAGCCAATGAAAACTCTTGAGTTGCATTATTCATTGATCCAGTTTTTAATGAATACAGTTATTCCTTAGATAAATGAAGAATATTGGATTTTAAAGGTAATATGTATAAATATGATTAAATATAACCATCCTTTACATAAAGTATTTAGAATATTTGAGTCATTTAGTAATATGAATAAATATGGTAATCGCATCCCACATGCTCTAAAACATTCTTCATACATTTTCAGATTACAGACTGTAGTTTGTCCACTACAGACACATGACATTGATCTGCCATAAATGTCCTGAGTAGTACATGCACTTTTGTCATTTTGCCAACCCGGTTTTCTTACGCTAACGGCAAAAAAGACGAAATTACAAAGTATAAATCTACTTCTCTTTTCAACGGTGCAATAAATTTCGTTTAAAAATAATCATGTAATGTCATAATTGTGTTCTACTGTTTGCTATCAAAAATACGTAAGATGTCATTGCTAAATGTCAGTCCTGGATATATTTTAAGGATATATTCTTAATATGTCGCCTTATGAAAAAGAGTTCAAAATTTATAAAGTACGTAAAACGTCAAAAAAAAAAAAAAAAAAAAAAAAGAAAAGAAAAGAAAAGAAAAAAAGAAAAACTTCAACGCTATTTACAAGTTTTAAATTTTGCAAGTGAATATAGTATATGTCTTAATAAATTAACCATACTACATGGACATACAGCTCAAAGTAAAGCTCTTTAGTAGTTTGCTAGAACGCTATATGTAAACTCTGCGATTTCTTGGCATCAATAATGGGAATCTCATTAAATATGAAGCATAGGTACTGGTATGCCGACAGTTTAATTCTCAAGTGACATTAGGCAATATTCATAGTAAATGTAATTTGTCTAAGAAAGTCCTCCTAATGTTCAAATCCTTTCAAAATGATCACTGCATGATCTCTAATGTCCACAATTCTTCTCCCGTCTTCGTTAACAAACGACTGTTGCTTCCAAAACTTCAGGATCTTTTTAACGGTTTCCATTCCTTCGTTTTGGCGCAGTTGTACTCGATTCGTTAGAAAATCCAAGAGATAGTTGCCTCCGCGTGAGGAGCTGTCGAAAATGGTTGTGATGTCAAGGCTGTTAGAATCACCTGGACAAGCGAAAAATTTCCACCCTCTCTTGATCGCTACGGCAACGACATCTTTATTCCTGGGGAATGAAGGACTCCGCTGTTCAGGGAATTTGCGGGCGAACTTCAGCATAGGGTCGTCTTCGGCTTGAGCGATTGATATGATGACGCCATCTTTACCAAGCTCTTTCTCATAACAATGAACCAGCGCTTCTTCTACTCCGACATAATAGATGCTGTGTGTGAAATGAATCAGATCAAATGTGACGTCATGTGCCTTCTTCTGTGACGTGTATTCTTGGAACGTCGTGGGGATCCATTCAAAGTCAATGTTTGCTCGTCCTTGAAAATGTTCATATAACTTCTCAGTTTTTGAACGAAATCTCTCCAACCTACCCACGTGTGGTTCAACGACGCGGTTCATCAGTGCAATGGCTTCTCCATCCGCACGGCGTTTGTTGTCAGTCAAGGCTTTCAGAATGTTGATGTCATTTTGACCCTCTCCGCTTCCAACACTGAGAACACGAAAAGGCGAACCGTTTGACGCGCGACTGTATAGAATCTCACAAATTCCTCCGTCGATCAGAGGAAAGATGTGCTCCTTGATGCAGTTTAAAATGGTACTCTCTTGGTTAGACAAAGCCAGGAAACTTTGAAAGGAGTTGGAATTTTCTTCGGGATTGGAAGAGAAAATGGAAGTCTTGCGTTGAGGCATCTTGGAACTGAAATGTTAAAAAACATATATATATATTATTAATAATAAAGTCTCTAGTGTCACTGAATCATAAATTAGCCATCACACAATAAATATAAGATACGATTCTGTAAGTAAAGCCTTTTGTACAAGAACGTTCAGGTTGAGAGGAGAAGAGTGTTTTTAACTAAGTATGAATTTAGTCCTTTCTTACGTTCATTATTCAATGGCTTCAACAGGGCTCAACAGTGGGGGGGGGGGGGGGGGGGGGGGGGTGGAGGAGGACAAAGTGTTTGTGCTGATTTCAAACTTTGGCAACGTAAACAACATTCAGGCTATAAACTTAAAACGTTCTGACTTTTACGAACAGTTCGGCTAGGGGACATTTGAACTGACGATTGTTTGTTATGATCAACCCTACATAACAAAGGCGAATGGATAATTGTTTATAAATTCTTCAATCGACTGGATAATGTGGACATTTCGTTTAAATGTAAAAGAAGTCATGGTATAAAAAGGCAGGAAAAATTGTCGCACCTACATCCTTAACCACCCTTGCTTCATCATGCAGCATGCATAGAGTGTTATTAGCTACTTGATGTTTTTCCATCTTAATGAACTTTTATTCTCAGGTTTCTTCCAATTTAAAGGTAATTTTGTAGGTGGCAAAAATAATTCAAAATAACGTGACTGAGCTCCTTTAAGACACCCTTTACAAATTATTTATTCTAATAGGGTTTTAGTTTCATCTAATATTGCCTCGTGCTAAGGTTAACTCTCAAAAGATTGTCAAAGATAATCAGTCTAAAACGGGTCTGATCAAATGGGACTTACCAGAGGGCTAAGATCTGACATCTGGAAAAAAATTAGCGATAGCTGATAAATGGAAACCTTTATTGACANAATCAATCAATCAATTAATCGATCAATCAAACGTGCGTCCGTCAGTAGGTCCGTCCGTTCGTCGGTCGGCCGGTCGGTCGGTCGGTCGGTCGGTCAGTCAATTATCGATCAATTAACCAATAAATCAAGTATTAGCAAGCAAGCAGGCAGGAAGGCAGGACTTTCTGGACTTTTAAAATATAGGTAGGCAGGCAATTGCTCGTTCCAAATTAATTGCAGGAAGTTTTGCTACTAAGCTATACTTGGGCAGGAGCTGAGCTCTCAATACTAAGAAAGCCTTTTGGGCTTTTCGACGAGAGTCTGGCAAATTTGTAGGAGTGCTTTCTGAAATTGTAGCCCGGGAAGAAATTTGGCATGTAATCATCCCCTAAAATCATACCTCTGTCCTTGGTCTTCTTTGCATTCTTGTGGTGATCATGCCCCGTCCACGATCGTTAAAATCATATTGATTCATTCTACAACCACATATAGACCACGTTGTGGATCGTCTCTGAACCAATTCAGAACGGCGATTACGCCACGCATTTCTACAGCCCACAAAGCACCGTTACGGTTTCCAAACATTGCAGAAACTGTTCGTTTACAACCAAAACAGAAGAGTTGATCTTAGTTATAGCTACGCATTGCACTTAAAAACGTCGGTGAACAATATCTCCGTTTCTAAATAAACAGTAAGACTTCGAGGTCATTGGTCGGATACCGGCTTTTTTGTTTACATGTTATGTAACACAAGCGTGTGAACTGACACATGTGTATCACGTCCTGATGCACTGCACATGTAACATACGTGTAAACTTTCACCTTGACTATTAAAAAGTGAGCAAATACACGCATGCATAACACAAGTCAAGTTGTAAATTACGCAAACTTTACGAAAGTGTCGCACGTGTGGTACATGTGAGGGGAAGGATTTGAAGATCAAACTCCAAACATTTACGTCTATACTATCACAGTATATGTGACACTGAACTACATTTTAAACTTTACTCAAGAAGGGAAACTGACCCATACGTTTCCACAAAAGTAGTGCTGTGATTTATCGAGCCATATTATGGACATATTTATGTACCTTCATCGTTTGCAAAACGTTCTGCCAGTTACAATTTACCGATATTCGTATTGCGAAATACTTCGGCAGATGTCCTTGTTGCAATGATCGCCGACGTGAGATAAAAAGATGACTACCGGAATAATTCACAGGTAATTAACGTCAACCTATTTTATGAATTTTAACTATAGGTTTAACACTCGTCTGACGAGTATTTTTTTTTCCCCTGTCACCAAATAGATTTGAAAGATATAGAGAAGACTTCTTAATTGTAAATTAAATCTTTAGCTTTGCTGATCAGTTTATAAGTACCGTCGTCTTACGTTCGACTCGTGTGTATCCGTAAAAGCCTTTTAATTTAACTGGCTACTTGTAAATCACGCATCTCTGTTATGGATTTGAGAGGGTATCTAGGATCATTGAACTAAGCATCTCTGCTTGTGCAAACGTTTGCAACTTTTTAATACGATACTCTTTAATGATGGGATATAACTCATTGAAAAATATCTGATTTTATCCAATTCTATACTCCGCTAACGCATGAAATTTTGTGCTTTNAAGGTTAACTCTCAAAAGATTGTCAAAGATAATCAGTCTAAAACGGGTCTGATCAAATGGGACTTACCAGAGGGCTAAGATCTGACATCTGGAAAAAAATTAGCGATAGCTGATAAATGGAAACCTTTATTGACACTAATAACAAGAAAATTCATTCTTAGAGATTTGAGAAAAGCTTTTTCAAATCGCTTATCGGTCAACAAGGACGAAATATGAAATATGCATTTTTTTTCCCCCCATCCTTACTTTTGGATGCTCATTACGTAATAATCGTTATGTCTGAGCTATGACGTGCACACCACTGTGTAGGTGGATCCATCGCCAAATTGTTTTGAGGAACAGACAAAACGGGATGAATATATTAGAATGAGTATTTCATAAGAATAAGCCAATCCATGTAGACAAAAAATTCTGGATAGAAAATTTCTGAGTTTCATGCACTAAGCTTTATCAGACTGTGCGCAGCATATACACATAAAAAAGCGAGTTTCCGACGTCTAAACTTGCCTGAAGCGTATATGTATCAAAGAAGCCGGGTACGATTAAGCAACTACCGTGTACATACTTGACCAAAAATCCGAAATATGAAATATGTCTTAATCACTAAAGTTTTTTAACGTGAACTTTGAGTTTAAGAAGGGCAAAGTTCAAAGAACAAGCTACGTAAACAACCAAAGCTGAAATTGGGACCAAAACAAAAAAAAAAAAACCTGAAATATTTCTTATTTTTCTGTGAAAACTATGAATTTGTGGTACATCCCAACCTGTAGTGACAGCAACCTCTACATAGCGGCTATTTGTCTAAAATGTTCAGGACTGAGTTTATATTGTGCCGAACCTGATCAAACATTGTTTTTTGCTCCTGGCGAAACCTTCCTACAAAAGCCTAGTTTTGCTCCAATGTGGCTATCGTAGACAGTTTCAACTGCAAACTGATGTATACTTCTTTGATATCGGTTTTAACGAGATCGAACGTTTGGTTCAAACACAGAGAGAAATGTTAAGTACAAACAGAGGGAAAGACATTTACGTGAAGGAGATATCTCATCTAGCCGATTCGATATACTAGTAAACGCGAGATAGTATGTGCTGAAAGTTGCTGACTGTTGTCGAGATACGCAGTTAGGTGAAATTATAGTTTGATGTCATCTCACCAACACTAAATTTTACAAAATTAAACGCCGCAATGGTTAAAGTAAACTGAGACAACAGCTAAAATAACCGTCAATTAAACTTACCCTTAACGATAAAACGCCACAAAAAAACTGTCAGTCGCAAAATTGCCAACGTCAGTCTTCACTCAGTATGTGCTACTGGAGTTAATCACCTGGGAAGGCTTCTTCGTGAGAATGCGGAGAAATGGATTAACCGTGAGCATTTATACAGCAGTGATTGCTAAAATTGCGTGCTATAAGTTGTTTACGAGTGCCAATGAGAAATTTTCATTGGATGAGAGTAATTACCTCCCGAGGAGGCACAAAGTATTATAATTAAAAAAATATTTCTCTATAGATTTCAATGTTTATAATCGACGTACTGCATTGATTGTTGACAGAAAAATGGGACATCAAAAGTACCGCCCTTATTGTCACGGCCCAGAAGGAATCACGAAACTTCAAGGACACGTGTGGCACGTGCGTGAGTAAACGCGTTACCATTACGCAATAAACACGTTAGTTCTGGGTTTTGCCCTTAACTCATTTTTTTTTTTTCACAAACACCGTAAAACAAACAGGGAACAGAGAAACAATCAGCGACGAAAACAACGGAATACAGCAAATGCCAAAAAAACTGCAAAAATTTAGCGACTGGTGTACGTTTACGTAATAAACACATTAATTCTGGTTTTTGCCCTTTCCCAATTTTTGTTTTTTAGAAACACCGCAAAACAAACAGGGAACAAAGAAACAAATAGCGACAAAAACAACGAAATAACGTAAATGCCAGAAAACCGCAAAAATTTAGCGTCAATAGCGTTACTGACACGTCTGAATGAACGCAATTACGTAACGCGATTGCCATTACGTAATAAACATTTTAATTCTGGTTTTTGCCCTTTTCTCATTTTTTTTTACAATCACCGCAAAACAAACAGGGAACAAAGACACAAACAGCGACAAAAACAACGTAATACGGTAAATGTCGGAAAACCGCAAAAACGTACGCAAAAAAGGCGAGGAACAAAAACAAGTTCTAGGTCCGGGGGGAGGGATGCACTCAAAAGAACTTGGTGTAAGTGTGCAACCCGCCTCCCAAATCCCTTAACCCTATTTCAGACCAAAATTTCCGATTTTCTCTACCCTGTTCATGACCCTTAAAGGAATACCCTGTTTCACACCTGCCTTATATAGTTAGTTCCCTAGTTCAGACCAATATAATAAAAGCCAATGTTTATAAGCTTTGAATAGCTGGGATAGTTTCTTCTAAAGGAGCATAC